TTATGATAAATGAAAAATTAAAATTAAGAAATAATGATAAAATTAAATTATAAAAATAATATTTATTTTCATTAAAATATAAAAAAATTACTGTTATTTTTAAGACAAATTCTAGATGAAAAAACATCTGTAGGAGAGAAAGTTTAAATATAATTAATGAATACTACTACATTATGGGTAAAGTTACTACCTTGCTGCTGAACATTTAAGGATGTAATATTGGAACCTCAACTAGTGGGAGAGGAAGCCTTTTAATACCAAAATTAAACCACTAAACCACTACTACTGTTTCTTAATTTTAAATTGCTTTTATATTTTAACGAAATAATAGTTCAAAATTATTATTTTAAGAGTTAAACTCATTGATAAATAAGTATTACTTTTTAAATTAAGTCTAAAGTCTTAGTTATTGGGTTAACACTTAATAAAATTATTTTTTTAATATATCATATCAATGTAAAAATACACCTCTAAAATTATCAAAAAAAGATATTAATCTCAAGAAGATGTTTTTAATCCAAAAACATGACTAAAGTTATAATCACTAATAATTTCATTAAAATCACTTATTTTAATTATAATTTTGTTAATTTATAATTTTTTAAATAATTAATTATTTAAAAATATCTATTTATAATTATTTTATAAGTTATTAATTATTTTTAACAATTAAATAAAATGTTAATTTATAATTTTTTAAATAATTAATTATTTAAAAATATCTATTTATAATTATTTTATAAGTTATTAATTATTTTTAACAATTAAATACATAAAATTTCAATTATCTTAATGGTACTAACAAAATTATTAAAATATCAAAAAAACCATCATAGTAATTTTTTATTTTAAATCATAGAATAAAAGAGAATAAACTTCCTTTTATCAACCTATTTTAATTATATATTATTTGATTTAAATTTAAAAATTTTTGTTTAGAAAAAAACCCATTAAATTAGTTAATCTGTCAACACCTTATCATAAATCGTAAATAAAGAAAATAGAAAAGTCACAAGTGCAACGATACCTACGCGACATCACCATCTTTACACTCATCATCTTTCTGCATCATGCATCATGCATCATGCATCACCCTCACTTGCTCCCTCATTTAACTTTTCCAAAGGGAAAAGGTGTCTCCAATAAAAGTATTATTCCTTCCATTATATTATTCATCCCAACCCCCAACGTTAAAAAATAAACAATACACACAAAACTGACATCACTATACTTTGTTTCAACCTCCTTACCATTTTTTCTATGAACCTTTTCATCATCTTGGAAATATTTTAATATCCAACCTCAAGTCCAGTGTCCTTACTCTGAACTCCCCCTTTCTTGTTCTGCTCAAAAAACCCATTAAATAGTATTGGCACATTGTGCAAATACCAAAACCTACAGAATCACCTGAGCATTAATGTTGGTGGTCAAGATGGGTCTTCTTCTTCCTCTTTTCACCGTCTTCCTCTTCTTCTCTTTTTCCAGTAAGTTCTTCTGTAAACCGCCATCTTGTTGTTTGCAAATCTTGTTCTTTCTCTGTATCTTTCAATTTCCTGATCCCCTGTTTGATTTTTACAGGTGCAGAGCTGTCGAGCAAAGCGGGAGTGAACTACGGCCAGCTGGGGAACAACCTGCCGACACCAGCAGAATCCGTGAAGCTGATCCAATCCCTCAAAGCCGAACGCGTCAAAATCTACGATGCCAACCCTAAAATCCTCCACGCCCTCGGAAACACTGACCTCCAGGTCTCCATCATGGTCCCTAACGAGATCATCTCTAATATTTCCTCAAATCAGTCCCTCGCCGATTCCTGGGTCAAATCCAATGTCATCCCCTTTTACCCCCAGACCAAAATCCGGTACCTTCTTGTCGGAAACGAAGTTATCAGTAGCACCACGAAAGAGACCTGGTACAATCTCGTTCCCGCTATGCGGAAGATTAAGAAATCTCTTAAAGACTGTGAGTTGCGCAAGATCAAAGTGGGGACCTCAATGGCAATGGATGTACTACAGTCGTCCTTTCCGCCGTCGAACGGAACATTCCGGTCCGATATTGCGATTCCGGTGATAAAACCCATGTTGCAGTTCTTGAATCGGACCAAATCGTTCTATTTCGTTGATGTGTACACCTACTTCCCCTGGTCGATGGATCCCCTGAACATCCACCTCGACTATGCCCTGCTTCAGTCCCGGAATGTTACCTACACCGACCCTGTTTCGAACTTGACCTACACCAACCTCTTCGATCAGATGATCGACGCCGTCATTTTCGCCATGAAGAGGCTCGGGTACCCGGACATTCGGATCTGGATCGCCGAAACCGGCTGGCCCAATGGCGGCGACATTGACCAAATCGGCTGCAACATTTACAATGCTGCCACTTACAACAGAAACATAGTCAAGAAACTCACCGCCAAGCCACCCATTGGAACTCCGGCCCGACCCGGATCCATCCTCCCGTCTTTCATCTTCGCCCTCTATAACGAAAACCAGAAACCGGGTCCGGGCACGGAGCGGCATTTCGGGTTATTATATCCGACCGGGGCAGAAGTATACGGGATTGATTTGAGCGGAGAGACGCCGTTGTCGGAGTACCCGCCGCTGCCGAAGCCGAAGCCGAAGAACGACAAGCCGTACAAAGGGAAGATTTGGTGCGTGGTGGCCAACGTAGCCAATAAGACTGCAATCGCATCCGCTCTATCGTACGCATGCTCGCAGGGGAACAAAACCTGCGATCCGATTCAACCCGGGAAGGAATGCTCCAAACCCGATTCCTTGATCCGACACGCAAGTTACGCGTTCAGTTCTTATTGGGCCCAGTTTAGGGCCGTTGGTGGGACCTGCTATTTCAACGGCCTGGCTAGGCAGACGGCTAAAGATCCGAGTAAGTATCATAGCCGTTGATTCTCCTTCCGGTGCTATTTTCCCTCCCAAAATCACCGTTGATTTTTTTTTTTTTACATTTTCTCACTTTTTTTAAACAATATTTAATTTTTTAATTATTTATACCATTTTTGTAGGTTATGGGCACTGCAAGTTTCCGAGTGTGACCCTTTAAGAAAGCTCCACACTTTTTTTTGGGGTAAAAGATGACATTGATTTGGGCCCTCCTTTTGAATTGATTTATCATTGAAAAGAAAATAATCTGATTTTTTGAGCCCAATTTATAGGAAGCAATTTTAATTAGATTTATTATTATTACTCAGTATAATCTTGTAGCTTTGGTATTTTTTATTTTAATTTGTTTTGTGTGACCATTATTAATGCCATGACTTCTAATTCACTCGTAAGTTGGGAATTTGCGAGAAGTTATCTTTTTATATTTTCATCAATTGTCTAACTTTTTAGAACTTGTTTGAATGATTATTTCTTCGAAATTTTGAATTTTTTTTGTTCGTACTACTGTATTAATTTTGTCAGAAGGTGTATGGTGTAACGGCTATTGTGTTTTAAATGATTTAATTTGTCTTTAATTTTGCAATTTAAGTCGTTGGTGGTGGGTGCCAACGGCTAAAAAGAGAGGTCTGCTTCAGAATGGCAATCTTCAATTTCGAGGATGCTTGTTGATTTTGCAACCTTTTGGCATCGCTTTTTCTTACAAAAAGGCCTTGTAATAGCAGTGTGGACCAGCTGTTGTGTGTGCCCTTTATTCCCTTGTTCCTTTTGAAATACTTTCTTGAATGAAAGTGACTATTCTATGCAGCATCTTGTTCAACACATAACACGGGGTAATCCTCAGGGCTTTTGGTAGAGTTTATAATTGCAGTTCCTTTTCTCATTAAGTCTGAAAATTTTTTAACCAAGGTATGCCATTGCCTAGTGTATTTGTAGTTTTGCACCCTAATTTAAAAATACTTAATGTAGTTTAAATTATACTAAATTAGGTTTTAGATAAGAGATGTCTCTTGATATTAAAATCTGTCTCACCGCCTTAGTGCCTCTTAAGTGTCTCTTTTTGCGGTTGAGTATCTTTCGAATTGTAAAGAAAGAGACTCTTATTGATTACTTAATAGAAATTGCTTGCTCCCCCCCTTTTTTTTTTTTTTTTGAATTCAAGAAAAAAGTTTGAAATTTTTTTAAAGCAAAATAGTACTTTTTATTTGATTGGAAGGTTCAAAATAATTAAGTACTCATATATTGAAATAGTGTGATTTCAAAAATAAAATTTCAGTGACATGCAGCAAAACTGGTGAGTGAGAATCATCATATTTAGGTTTGCATTTGACTGCCGACAAACCCATGGCTAAGTTTTCGTTCGAGGTTCTATTTTTTCTTCACTCCTTTTCATATTGCAAAGCGTGCTGAAGAGGTCAGACCTTATAATTTATTCTATTTTTATTACAGTTTTTTAAATAAAAAATAATTATTTTTAATAAATATAAATAAATTTTAATTATTAAAAATAAAAAAATAAATAATTGAGATTTTGTATAAATATGATATATAAAATTTATACTTAAATAGATCCATATTTATTTTTCTTTCATCTTAATATAATCATTGTTGCATCTTACATGAAACACAACAACATGAAGTGTGGATGATAAAACAAACAAGGGATAATTCTTAGAAGGGTGGTTTCAAAAAATAATAATAATAACTAAATAGGAATGGTTTATTAAGAATTATACAAATGAATAAATGATTTATCTTCTACCTTTTCCCTTGCTATCTTTCACCCTCCATCTTTCACTTAACTTTATTTAGAGTTCCGTTAAACTTCATTCATGGATTCATTAATTAAACTTCATTCAGTGATTCACTTTTTATTTATGAATTTACTTACATTCATTTATTGAAATATGTCACTCCCTTGTTCTCTTGGTTTATATATATGCTTGTATTGTATAGAGAAATGTGAAAGAATAGAAAGCAGTTTTATTTGCCATTCTTGCTTCTATCTTCTTATCTCATTACCTTACCTTTTCTTTTATATTTATTCTTACTTTTGTCCAACTCAAATCCCTTATTTTGTAACAAGGTTTGAAATTTATTCTTAAAAAAGTCTCAATTTTTTTAATAACTCTAAATTAGTACCCTACACTTCCAAATTTGGTTCTCTCCCCACGTTAAAATTAACAATTAATACATGCCATTAATCCTCACACACTAACTTCCTCTTTCTTGCTTTGAAAAAAAAAAAAACTTCCTGTTGTTTTCACTTTCTCTCCTTGTGTAAGATACAGAAAAAGGTAATCCACAAGGAACTCACTTTCCTGCTAATTGTAGTTCTGCTGTTCTAGGGTTGACTTTCTTTGGAAATTTTAATCCTCTAATCCTCCCTAATTCTATACTATCTTTCACAGTCTAGCTGAAATATTGCTCACTTTCTTTCTGATTCCATCTAAACTAGTTCCTCTGCCAGGATTTTGTTACACAATAAGACAAAATATTTCCTCTTTTAATTTTCGATAATTTTCTGTTTCAAGTGCAAAATAAGGTGTAAATCTTTGGAGCCTTTTGATTTAATTATTGTTCTATATTGCACCTTTTAATAATCTAGGATTCTAGTAATTTGAAATTGATTGTTTATAGTTTTTTTATTTTTCTTTATTTAGGAATTAAGGTTTCTTTTGGGTTAAGGTATTGATTTTTGAAAAATTTTAGAAGCTCTTAATTGGATTTTGGTTGGAAGAAAATTGTTGCTGGAAAGGCAAGGGGAGAAAGTGGAAGAATAGGAAGTTTATAGTAGTAATGGCATATATTGTTAAATTTAACTTGGGGAGGGGTAAATTTGGAAGTGCAAGGTACTAATTTGGAACGATTAAAAAGATTAGGACTTTTTTAAGAATAAATTTCAAACCCGCCCTATCCACGTAGCTCTCAACGCTAGCCTGGGTTTTTTCTCTTCTTCAACAGCGCACATCTCCCTATTTTGAAGAGCCCTCCTGCTTACTCCTTTGCTATCCTTCTATACCCCTTTAGGGGTTTCTCTATTCTCTCCTCTTTTTCCTCTTTTTCCTCTTTTTTACTGTTCTTTTCTCCTGAGTTCTTTTGGTTTTTGCCCAAAAAATCTATTGGTCTTGGATTCTTAGTTCTTAAGAGAATCCTAGGTAGTATAGTAGGTGCCTAGCCCCTCCTTGGCATTGATTGAATTTGGACTGAAGGTATTAGGGCTAAAGGAGATTGTAATAGAGGGCTAGGGTTTTTAGGTAGCAAGATGGTTGACCTTGGAACGAAGGGCTACTGCTGGTGGTTTACATCAAAATAGTCAATATCGTACCG